AATCAAGCCCAGGATTTAAATATCCCGTGCTTGATTTGCAGCTTCCCAACTGGTCGCCATTTTTGAAATTTACAAGTCTGGACTAACTGCCTACGTCTACACGTGGCAGGGACCAGGTAGTTCGAAATAAAGCCCTAGTTCAAACTACTTGTTATTCCTTCTGGAATAAGGTTTAACAGGTAGTTCGATTTAGGGGCTTTAATTTGAACTACCGGGTCCCTGCCACGTGTAGACGTAGGCAGTTAGTCCAGACTTGTAAATTTCAAAAATGGCGACCAGCCGGGAAGATGCAAATCAAGCACGGGATATTTAAATCCTGGGCTTGATTTGCAAATTTGAATGCCTACCTTAGCCTCCCTTAATTAGCACCTTAATTGTTTGATTGGTTGATAATGTCCCAGCTATCCATTATCTCGATTGAGGCCATAGGTGTGAGAATTAAATTTGTGGATGAATATAAAGACCTGTAGGATCTTTATAGAGCATTCCTATAATCAAAATTCCCACCTAGAGAAGTAAAAAAACAGATTGACCGAGCCAAAAAAATACCCAGACAGGAACTACTTCAAGACAGACCCAAAAGATAAAATAACAGAATTCCACTTATCACCTACAATCCACAACTCAAACTCCTCCAACGCATTATACACAATTTGCAACCTATCTTGGAAAATGATCCCTCACTCTCAGAGGCCTTGGGAGAAAAGCCTACTGTCACTTACAGACGGCCCTCCAAACTGAAACGAATTCTTTCCGGTAATCATGCTACACAACCACATCATAAACATCCAGGAACCCAGCCTTGCAAACAGCCACCGTGCCAGCTCTGTCCACATATATATACACAAGCAAATTCATTACTGGATCCAACAATATAAACTACCAAATAAGAGGCTCATTTACCTGCACATGCAGTAATTTGATCTATGCCATCAAATGCCAGCAATGCCCCACTGCTATATATCGTGGACACACTGGACAGTCCCGACAGGAAAGAATCAATGGACTCAAATCAGATATCTGTAAAGAGAACATACAGAAACCTGTTGTGGAACACTTTAATCTACCTGGTCACACTTTAAAAGATATCCAAGTGGCTGTCTTGTTACAGAGCAATTCTACAAGCCAAATACACAGAGAAGGGTTGGAATTACAATTCATCCACAAGTTTAATTCTCACACCTATGGCCTCAATCTAGATAATGGATAGCTGGGACATTATCAACCAAGCAAACAATGAAAGTGCCAATAGCATTTTGTCTGTGTAGATTCTTGTGTTAGTACTCTTCCTCTCTAATTGCTATCCTATGATCCTTATGCTTCTTTTAACTATCCAATTTTTAGGTGCTTACAGATTACCAGTTTTGCCTGTTTGGTTTTCTCCTTGATACTTACATACCCCCTGCTTCTTGTTTTCCTTCTCCCTCTCCCTTCTCCTCTATTTATTTTGGGTCTGGACATCCTAAACTCAAAACTCTGGTCATCTGAAGAAGTGTGCTGTGCCCACGAAAGCTCATGATACCATCTACGTGTTTTGTTAGTCTATAAAGTACTACCAGACTACTTGTTGTTTTTTAAGTTTATCAGGGGAAAAGACAGTGGTAATGTCCACCAATTGAGAAAGGAAGTCTTGGAGGCAGGAAAGGAAACTAGGGGAAAGTTAAAAACTCAGTTTTGGTATGTTGAGGTTAAGGTGACAGCTGGACAAGTCATAAAGAAGGACAAAGATTTTAGCCTGACAGGACACAGGGCTAGAGTGGAGAGGTAGATCTGTGAGCAATCATCTTGAAAATATTTCAGCTCATGTTTATGAATGAGGTCAACTGTAAAGAGAGTGTAGGGGACAAGAGTAGTGTCCCCCTACCCCTATTAAATTTAGAGGTAGGAATGAGACAGATCCTTCAAATTAATTACTGAAGGATAAGATCTGAAATGATAAAAATCTTTCTTGATCATTCATTATTTTTCAAAATTCCTCCTCTTCAGAGCCAAACAATAGCATTTTTTATGGTTTTCTTTTTTAAACCAGAGAAGGTTGAGACATCATTTACAACACAGAAATTACCCTAACTGTCCCTTCCAGTGGTCATTGGATTTTAATAAGGGCCTTCTGAGAGCCTCCTTTACTATATTAGTGGCATATAGCAAATACTAATAATTTGGATCTGGCATTCATTCAAATACCAAAAAGTGTATGCATGAACTATTTGTGAGTTTCCCTTTAATGAGCCTCAGAGAATATTATCAATTATAATCAAACTAAAATTCTTATTATTCTGTTCTGGTATGCTAACATCCTAGCTTGTTAAATAGCCGTTTCAGTCCTGATATACACTGTAGCTCAGAACACAACATACAGACATAAAAATGCAGTCTAAATTTGTAGATGTATGATTGCTGTATGATCTGATAGTCAAGTGAATAAACAGAGAGTTCTTTATAGTGTGAGTAGCTAAAATTGCAAGAGATTAGGCATGTAAAGAGTTTGCATATTTGTTTTGCTTTTGTCTAAAGATTCTGACAAATATTGAGGAGGGCTAAAAGTTCTCCCGTAATTACATCAGGCAAAGAGAAGACAGGGAGTGATTCAATACTCAACTGTTATAGAAAATCCTTCTTAATTCACTCAACCCCAAGACTAAGGGTACTTAGCATCTTGCAGGATTAGCCCTTTGGAAAACCAAAATGCAGTGATGCTCACATGGTATAAAATCTTTTAAATAGTCAATGAATTTTTTAAAATATACTTTTGGATATATTTGTATGTAACCAGAATAGTGAGTTTTAAAAAATTATTGTTTAAAGATACCCATCATTCTCATTTAAAGGACTAGTACTTAGCTTTAAAACAAAAACTTTAAAAAAGTATATCCCCAACTATTTGGTTAACCTAAACAAAGCTCTACTTTCAACTCAATGCTATTTCTATGTGTGTGAATGCTTTAACTTTTGGTTATCACCAAAACCACCTCTTGGTCACTCCATATATGGTGGCTAGACAGTGGCCTCTGGGTTGGGGTTAGGGTGAGGATTATGGTAGAGAGTAGGGCACCAGAGATCTTCATCTGCCTGCAGTACTAAGTGGGTCCTCCGTGGGCCAGATTTTAGTGAAAATCTGCTGCCCAACTGGGTCCTCACTTCACCACTCTGGCCCAACTACTACCCTGCAGATCCCTCATCCCCACACCACCAGCAGCACTCCACTCCAGCTGGGTCCCTTGCCTCCAATCTAGTCAAACCCAGGAGCGGACAGAGGCTGGCTGAGGCAGCTGGCGCCCCAGTCAGAAGGCGTGATCAGCGCCCCCGCTTGCACGGCCGTCAATGGCTGTGACGTAATCACAGGGCTCCCTGGCACCCCGTGATGTCATCATCGGGCGCCTGGGCCCACGGAGCCCTAGGCAACTGCCTAGTTTGCCTAGCTTCACGGGCCGCCCCTGGTCAAACCTCACCCTCTCCTTAGATTGATGTTGATGTAAATGGGAAAACTGGATCCTATTTTGACTTTCACCAAAATCAGAATTCTGACTATCTACAGGTGTAGAAAGGGGACCAAAGAACTCAGCTAAGTGTACAGCTCAGCCTCCAAAAAAAAAAAATAGTATAAGATCCTCTCGTATATATATAAGATATATGACTATTGCCACAAATTTATTCTGATTTTGAATTTCTCTATATAAAAGCATAAAATATATTGGACTTAAGCCTGAATTCATGCACACCCAAACTCCTACTGGAGTCAATAGGACTATAGAAATGCAAGAAATGCTGAACTGGACCGTTACACTGCATGCTTATTTCGAAATAAAATATTCCGGAATAGGTATTCCAAAATAGATTATTTTGGAATAGCACATCTACGCTGCAGGGAAGCCTCAAAATTAGTCCGAGGCAGACTTCCCTAATGTAGATGTGCTGTCTCAATGTAGAGCCTCAGGAGGCACTGGGGAGGAATAACTTTGAATGGCCCTTGCTAGGGGGTATTTCAAAATAGCAGCAGTGGAGTATTTACAGATGTCTTATTTTGAAATAGCTCTTTTGGAATAGGCATTATTCCTCCCAGAATGAGGTTTACAGATTTTGGAATAAGCCGTCCATTATTTCAAAATTATTTTGAAATAACAGAATGGCTGCATAGATGCTCAAATTCTTATTTCAAAATAACACGAGTTATCTCGAAATAATGGTGCAGTGCAAACACACCCAAAAACAAATTGTCTCCTGTGTAAATACTTGGATTTATAATGGAATTATACCAAGCAGAAATTTGCCTCAAAGTTTCCATCTTCTTACTGACACCACTTTTGTTGGCTTTGAAACACTTTATTTATTTATGTTATTACAGGTTTGCTTATTGTTGATTTTAACTTTTGAGACATCTGAGTGTCCTGTGGAGAGGCAAACAGTACTTTTTAAATAATGTCCTTTAATTAAAATCTGGCTCACATTTTGTGATGAATAGATTGTGGCAGACTTAGTTACAATTTTTAAAGGTACCTTATTATTTACCTTAGTAACCGGATAACCCTCACATTTCTAGAAAGCAGTAGCAGCGACCTGGCTACTATTCATGGTGGCCACACAGGTCAGGTTTGAACTCACACAAGATTTCCCCAGCTGTTAGAAAGGTTGGCGGGGAGGAGTGATGAGGACCCAACAATGCACTAGGAGTCTCAGGAGAGACTTCGCGTTTGTTATTGTTTCAAGTTCTAAAGCCTGTTCCAATTGTTAGCCTGCTGCTGATACGAACTGGGCTAATCAGAACGCGTAAAACCTGAACAGTTGCCAGAAGCCTTATCAAAAGTCCCGTAACTTGTTCTCACGCCATTCGCCCAGACGCAAAGGGGAAGAAAGGAGGCAGGACCTGTCCCCAGAGTCTGCAGCTCGGGCTTTTGTTTGCTGGGAGGAGGGGGAAATAATCCAACAATAATCATGCCAGCGAATGGGAGAAGCGAAGTGTGCAGCGCCCCTGCCTCCCTCTCCCCCTGGGGTGCGCTCAGGGAACTCTGGCCAGACTGGACTCGCGCCAGCTCCCAGACAGGCACGCACTGGGCTGCTGTCCGCGCGGAGTCCCGGGAGACTGGGCATGTGGAGGAGGAAGGAGGGTGGGTGTGAGCTACAGGGCAGGTGACACCGAATGAGGCTCCCCGGGGCTGGTGCGCTTGACAGCTTCCTTCTCGCCTGCTCGCCCCAGACACACGACCGTCAGATAAAGGAGACAGTGACGCTATAAATACCCAGCGCGAGAGCGCACGCCCCAGAGCCCTGCCAGCCGTGGCGAGGGACGGACAGACACGGGCGCCGCACTCCGCCTTTAGCAGGCAGCGACCATGCACGTGAATGGCAAGGTGGCGCTGGTGACTGGCGCAGCGCAGGGCATTGGCAGAGCCTTTGTCCAGGCGCTGCTAGAGGAGGGCGCGAAGGTAAGCGTGAGAGTCCCTGGCGGGGAGACCCCGGCCGTCCCTCAGCCACTGGGGCATCTTGGCGGGGCGGCGCCCCCCCGCCTCCCTGG